AATAGGTATATATATATATATATATATATATATATATATAAATGAAATAATGATTTATTGTATATATATAAATACATATATAGAATTATTCATTCAGAAGTGAAAGCTACCATTAGTTATTGAATGTTGCAGTGATTGGTAATTAGCCGAGCTGGGCCGGGTCGGCGACAAGAAATTAAGCGCCAGTTGCCTAGTCTGAAATGGTGTTTCCAACTGGTCCGAGGAAAAGTTGCTATTTTGCCATTTTTCCTTTATTTATTTCCCTTCATTTTCATTCGTCCACTCGCACTGTGCTCTATACTCCTTGTCTTCTAGTATCGTTGGCACTGCATGACACGCAAGCTCATGCTTCGCCTGTCCAAAAAGAGTGTCATTCTACTGACAAGCCACGAGTCCAGTTGCAAAACGTCTCGGTTCAGTGACGGCTTACCAGACACGGTACCCATGAGGCCGGTCGTCAAGAGGACAAGCTTGTACTCGAAGAATTTTCCCACAATCATATGAGTTGAGCTGACGTTTCCATTCAATTTCACATTGCCTTGGGAAAGCAAATCTCTGTGAAATTGATGGAAACATTAGCTCAACTCATATGATTGTGGGAAAATTCTTCTTCTACCAGTCCTTCATCCCCTTAAACGAAATTGTGTGAATACAACTCATACTACTGATTTACTGGTAGTCTCGACACAATACTTAAATGCGAATATTACAAAAATAAATTTCTTAAAGGGTAGCTAGATATAGGATGATTTTGATAGTTAGTTGTCAGGGCAATCTTAGTCTATTTTCCGTATTTAAGTATTATTTCGAGACTACCAGTAAATCAGTAAGTAGTATGAGATGTAGAAACTGCAGTCCACTGGTGCCTGGATGAGAACAATATGAAATTAAATGGAAAAGTCAGCTCAACTCATATGATTGTGGGAAATTTCTTCTTCTACCAGTCGTTCATCACCTTAAACGAAATTGGGTGAATACATCTCATACTACTGATTAACTGATAGTCACGAAAATAAGACTAAATTCGCAAAATAAAGCTTGTACTTGTCAGTGAATGGGGCATATCTGCTCATGGCATATACAAGATGGAGGTGAATGCAGGCAAAAGGGCAGTTCAGCTTGAAGGAAAAAAAAGAACTTTGTCTCTCCCCGGCCGAGCAGAGGAGCGACCCGCTTACAGGACGCAGTCGGCCAATGGGAGCTCGGCTTGTCGGCTTCGGGCCTAGAAGACAGCTTGCAGTCGGCCATCGGTACCGAAGCGCATCGTCTGTTGGCACATGCCGAACGTGGGCGAAAGCCTCAATCTGGCCACAGTCGCACATGCCGTCCGGACAGGGTCGGCGGGATTCCTCTTCGCTTCCTGTTACTTGCCATTCTGCAGTGTC